GTCCGAAAGCTTAGCTGTCAGTGTTCCTTCATCAGACGGCAATGCCAGATTATCAGTACGGCTAGACAGTACAAGTGATGCTTCTTTTTCTAAAGAATTTGCCTGAAAACAATCGCACTTGAAATGTCAATATTCTATCTTTTCGCTCATTTCCTTTTCTACATTCCAAATAAGAGGCTTCCTCCAAACCTCGTCACTTCGAACTCTGCAGAATCTCTGGAAGACCAAACCCTTAAGTGGCCATATAAAACTCCTCTTTTATTCTCCTCTCTTTACCGACTGCATGTTACTCACCGACTAACAAGAACAAAGTGACTGAACCAAGTTTATGTGCACATGCGTGAAGAACTGAATGTATGAGTGAATGAGTGAATAAGTAAAGGAGCAGTATCAAAAACAACAACAACGGGGATACACAAACTGAGTAGGAAAGCAATGGCAGCGTTATTTTTGCCATAATTGACGGAGCGCAACAATATAGCCCTGCCCTGAGAAACAGACGCTAAAGGCCCACTCTTTCTATCTAATCGATGATTACAATGTTCGTTTATAACGTTTTATAGAAACAAGAATGATATGTAATTAAATAATCATCAGCTAAGCCAATGCATGTACCTGCGACCGTGTGCAGTAACTTTCTTCAGTTTCAATCCAGTGCAAAACTTTAGTCTATTAACTCCAGGCGACTAATAACAAAAGTCATCGTCCCACTGTGCAACGCATCAGTGGGCATCTGTTCCATCTGTACCAACTTTCTTTTGAATCTTACTGAGTATTCCAATGTATTCTCTCATTTTTTTTACTCTCTGATAGCCTTATACACGCTATCGTTTTTTTTCCCCTTTTGTCCTAAACTTTTTCTTTTTCACTCCAATACGGCTAAAAAGTGTACGAAAAGTTTAAAAGATGAAACAGGATAAATTTTCTGTGTCATTATTTCATCAAACAAGCAGGTCTCAAAAATTAATGCATCTCTGCCCTAAAGATAATAGAAGTTAACTAAATGAAACAGCAAAAACATTTACAACTTTTGTTCTCAAATATTTGGAATTCAGTGTTACTTCCACTATTACTGTTGCTGCTACTACTCCTGCAGATGTATTTCCCGCTCCAAATTAGAAATTTTTTTCGAAATGACCATTACAATTAACGAAAACACTTTGGAGGAAAGCTAAATGACGATTTTACACACAATCTTAACCTTATAACAAAATGCCTTTGATAAGGGAACTTCTTTTCATTGGCATTTCTCTTTGTTCCTGCTTCTTCACATTTATCTACTACAATCTTTTAAATTTGTTTTGCGAAAATAGTAAATTGGAAAAAGAAACAGGGATATGTACTGAACCAAAAGGTTCCTTTTGAATCCATCAAAATGGTGATAATGAAGATGATGGGGGCAAAACTATTCATGGTACCGCATACACATCAGAAAGAAAGAGTGAAAAATAAAAAGGAAAGGATCAAAAATCAAGAAATAAAAGCAAAAAAAGAAAGAAAAAAACAACAACAGTCAGGAAAAATTTAATGAAACTGAAAAGACCTAAAAACTTGTGTTTTCCCAACAACCGACAAAAATTTCCATTGAGGAACAGAAAGATCTAAACCTAATGAGGTAAAACTTTGAAGCAAATAATTACTGATGTAATAACCAACTTTTTTGTTGTATCTTTGAAGTTACTGATAAACAACAAAAACTGAAACAACAAAGCTTTTTCTTTTTTTATAAAAATTGCTGTTGTCATTTTTGCAGCCACATTGCCGGCAACAACAACACTAATAACAACGGCAATTTTACCTCGAGGTTCCATTTAATCATAACCATCTTCAATGACCCCCTTCTGTTAGATAATCAGAAAAAATGTCTTGGGAGCAGAAAAAAAGAAAGAAAAAAAAAAAAAAAAAAAAAAAAAAAA